AACAGTTCCACTTGCAAGGCCTCCATGCTCAGTACCTGCTGCCTGTGCTTATCCATACAGAGGCTGGAGTTCAGGTCCTCTTATCTGCCAGGCCCTGCCGCAGGCTTTGGGCCTGGTGTGGGCCTGGTGAGGTGAGAAGATAAGCAGCTCGGGGTGGCTCTGGTGCAATGCTCCGAGTTGAGCAGTCTGGGAGCCTGCTGGCCCCCGTCGGATTTGCAGGATGCACTCTGTGTACCTAGAGCAGTGGAGGATTTTCTTGTAAGGATCCTCCAGCAGGAAAGAGGGCTTGAGTCGGTCACGTGGCTGGTCTCTTGGGAACGTCACGACGCAGCACTGACACTGTGGCAGACCGGTTAGCAGCCGAAGGGCTCTCCTGCCAGGCCCCACACTCTCAAAGGAGCGCAGCCCTCTCTGTGTAAATATTTGTTTCCCCTCGGAGATTTGTTGCAGCCTCTTGAGAATGTGAGGAGTTTGATATGCTCTGCAAGTGTCGTCATTTCCCTAGGCAGATAATACGTTTAGTAGGATTTTTTTTGTTAACTTCTGTATTATTCTGGTCTTTAACAGTGCAACTGGTATTTTATCTAGGATACCTGGCATTTTTCTCTGTCACTCTTACTGAATATCTGTTGACTAAGAGAACCTAAAGGCGTAGACCAAGAGATTCAGAAATCTTAATTTGACCTGACACACTTTATTTTTTTATAAGAACCACCTGTTTAATTTTAAAGGCACAGTGATAAAGAGGAGAAGAAAGAGATATCTTTCATCTGCTGGTTCACTCTCCCGATGACCACAACAGCTGGGGCTGGGTCAGGCTGAAGCCAGGAGCCTAGAGCTGCTTTTGGGTCTCCCACGTGGGTAAAGGGGTCACTTGGGTCCTTTCTGCTGCCTTTCTAGGAGCTTTATTAGCAGGGAGCTGGACGATAGCTGAGCAGCCAAGACTCAAACTCACCCCTCTGAGAAGAGAAGCTGGCATGGCAGGAGGTGACTTACCATGCTGTGCCAAGATGCTGGGCCCCCCACTTATGGTACTCTATAACATTGCCGTCAGGAACTTTTATTTTTCAGAATTTGTATTACTGTTTATATTGTCTACTTAAACACGGAAGTATTAACTCACAGCAAGTAAGCATCAGTCTTTTTAAGAGAAAATTTTATTTATTTGTTTGTTTGTTTATTTGAAAGTCAAAGTTACAAAGAGAGATCTTCCACCAGCTGGTTCCCTCCCCAGATGGCCACAGCAGTCAGAGCCAACCCTTGGGCCATCTGCCGCTGCTTTTCCCAGGCACACTAGCAGGGAGCTGGATGAGAAGTGGAGCAGTAGGGCCTGCGTCACAGGCATTTTATTTACCCGCCACGCTGCAATTCCAGACTAGCCTCAGCCACTCTTCTTTCGTTTGAATGGGCATTTACAGTTGACAGGTATTTTCAAAGATGTTTGGTTTTCAACTTTTAATCAAACCCTCCGAACAGAGGGCGGGCCTACCTCCCATATCCATTAAGAATTCAAAGCTGTGTTAAGGATCCGTACTTGGTTTTGTGGAGGGCCCTGGTGCCTGCAGTAGCTTCTGCGGCTCCTGCCTGCCAGCCAGGTGCCTGTCCATGCCCTACCCCTCACCCCTCACCGCAGAACGTGGAAGATGCAGAATGCCAGGGAGCTAGAGTGCCTGTCATCATCTTCCTCCTGTTCCCCTTCACTCACTCAGGTTCTTGAAAGAGAGAAAAACTCCAGGTGTGTCGGCCAGGTGCACACTTTTTCTCTTCGATTTGCACCAAGGCTTCTGCCCTGAATCTTGGCCCTGTTCCCTGTTGTGAAAGCTAGACTGAGCATCCCAGAGGCACCGTGCAGGTGACTGTTCCACTTGCCAAAAGGAAACCCCAGCTTTCATCCCTGAGATGTGGAAAGGAGGGATTCAGTTTCTGGCCATTGCTTCCAGACCAGGTATTGATTCGCCTTGCGGGCTGCTGCATTAACACTGTCTGGGGCACTCCTCTTCGTGACTCCTGGGGCTGTCAGAGGTGAAAGTCCTAGTTCTCTGTTCTGCTGCTGCACCTGGGAAGGCAGCAGAGGAGGGCCAGAGTGCTTGGGCCCCTGCCACCCACACAGGAGACCACGGCAGAGGACTGGGCTCCTCGCCTCAGCCTGACTCACCCTAGCTGTGTGGCCATTTGGGAAGAGAACCAGCACGTAGAGGATCTGTCTCTCCCTGTCCCCATCTCTGTCGCTCTGTGTTTCATATAAGTAAGGAAATCTTTTAAAACTTTTTTTTTTTAATTTGAAAGGCAGAGCTACAGAGAGAGAGGGAGAAAGATCTTCCATCTGCTGATTCACATGCCGAATGGCACAATGGCCAGGGTTGTGCCAGGCCAAAGCAAAGAGTCAGGAGCTTCTGGGTTTCCCATGTGGGTGCAGGGGCCCAAACTCTTGGGCTATTCTCTGCTGCTTTGCCAGGCCATTAGCAGGGAGCTGGATTGGAAGCGGAACAGCCAGAACTTGAACCCTCTCCATATGGGTTACCAGCACCATAGGCGGCAGCTTAATTCTTTTAATGTATGGGGGAGAATTCTGAAATAACGGTGTCTGTTAGAGCAGCTTCGGGGCTCAGGCCCAGATGGCTGTGAATGGACTTTGTGCTCCTGTAAGTGCTCAGAGGGCTGTTCCAGACTGCTGCTGGTGGTGGCTGTGGAGTGCCGGACAGTTGCCTGTTGGTGCTCAGCTGTCCTGGACACAGCCTGCTGAATGGCATGGTGTCCTCTGAGTGTCGACGACCGTGGGAATCACTCTCACAAATGCAAAAGGCACATGGCTGACCGACCATGCCTTCATCTGTGGAAACCCAAGGACCCTAGAAAACAAAGCCTTCTGAGCATTGTGACCCGGAAGGGAGTGGACAATGGCGGCAGGCCAGCAGGAGGACAGAGAATGTCTGTTTTTGCCCCAAGGCTGAGCCAGGTTTTTAACCTTCCTCTTGCCTTTATCTGCCAGTGCTCCCTGCTCTGCATTCTTGGGGTTGCATTTGCCTGGGCTCTGTCTCTGCTCACTGTCCTTGCAGAACAGGTCCTGATGGAGTTGTGAACGGTTCTGTTACGTGTCCAAGAGAACTGCACATTTGGGTGGCATGTGTTGCAGAATCTATGCAACGTACAGTTTACTTTTGAAAAGTTTTTTTTAAATACATCCAAGTTGTCTGTAACTTGCAAATTAATGACTGATTTACTAAGCAGATAATAACAATTTTATCTCCTTGGATTAATGTGCATCATGTAATTTTGCTGTAAGCTGTGCTAGGGTTTGTGAATTATTTCAGACTCTGATCTATAATAGTGAAACAGAAGCCAGAAGTCACCTCGGAGCTTGTCGCTTGTGTGCGTTCGCTTCTCCAGCCTTGTGGCTCTCTGATCTAGGCTACCTCTGTCAGTTTCTGAGTATTTTGCCATAACGTGTCCTGGTCTGTGGTGCTGGCGTGCAGAAGTGAGGTGACAAGAACTGAGGTGAGCCATCTGACAGCCTCTTTGCTGCTGCGCCTTTTCTTTGCACTCATTCTTTTCCTGGAGTTTAACTACAGTACTGACAGAAACTTTTTCTTTTCTAAGGTTTTTACTTTAGCACATAAGTATTCCACAGTGTGCACAGTTTGGGTCATCAGTGCTTTAAAAAGCATCGAAAGGGAGAAAGATCATCAGGCAGCTTTCAGGAACTTTTGAGATCAAAGGTCACTTTATTAACAAGGGTTACACAAGGCAATTGTCCATGGCCGTTTTACCTGCAATAGTGTAAAACATTGGAAGAGCGAAGAAACTGGATTTAACCAGGTCTGAAGCTTCAAGAAAGAGCATGGACAGAGAAAGCTGAAGTTAGGGAGATTGAGATGCTATGAGAAAATAATTGAGTATGACATGGCCGACCTTGGAATTTAAGCAGAATGAAGAGAGAAGTGAGAGTGTTGGGGGATTGGGAAAAGGCAGAGGAACAAATAGATGGCAAGCCCTGTTGTTTTGGGTCGTCTTACTGAAGGAGAGCAGCAGGAGGCGCTGTGCGTGGGACGTGCCTTACAGGTTCCACAGAACAGCCTCCTGGAAACAAAGCAAGGCGAGGCATTGTGCTGCAGCTGGGTAAGACACCACCTGCAGTGCCCACATCCCGGGTTGGAGTACCAGAGATTAAATTCCGTCCCCACTTCCCATCAGGCTTCCTTCCAGTGCACCTAGGATGCAGCAGATGATGGCCCAAGCAATGAAGTTCCAGCTGCCCAAGTGGGAGACCCAGATGGAGTACCCAGCTCCCACCTTCACTTTGGCCCAGCCTTGGCAGTTGGCAGCCATTTGGGGAGTGAAAGCTCTCCCCACCCCACCACCACCAAAAACATTGCAGAACTGAGCGGAGTGGGGGGAGTGGAGCAGAGTGGAGTCGGGGGAGTGTCGTACACACAGCTGGAAATCACAGCCGTTCGTGAACTGATTTGCTCGCCGTGGCCATTGAGTTTGCACAGAAATGGCCAGAACCACAAATGTTGAATCTGGGATTTGGAGGGCACACTGTCCTTCACCTAAATTTTCTTCAGTATGCATGAGCATTTTTAAGCTTTGTTCCTTGTGCTGTTTTGTTTGTTTTTGACGATGCTGATGAACAGACTTACTCAGGTGTAGCCTTTTCCTTTTCTAGTAGTGCTGTCTTAGACCAAGGCTCTAAAAGTCGACTTTTATACAGGTCTTTTGCGGCCTATCGTTATTTGCTACACAACTTACATAAGTTTACAGTGCCCCCAGCTAAGTAGTTTGGGTGAACTAGCTTAATAGGTAAAGTAGTGATTTTATATTTCTCTGATGGTCAGTGAACGTAAATGTTTAATTTTATATATTTGTGATATTCCCTCTTGAATTATAGAATCATGCATATTTTTCTGTATTAGTGAGAACACTGTTCCTGTTGAGCCCTTTACAGGGTTTTGAGACAAATGAGATTTTCAATCTAACACTCTCCTCTTTTTCTCTTTTAGCTCCAGTAATAAACCGATTCACAAGGCGTGCCTCCGGTAAGCGATGTTGATATGCATTTTGCTTTACTAATGATGACCTTCGATGGTAGTAGAATTGTACAGAGACAGTAATTGCTGCAGAGTAGGAAATTCCTTGCCGGTCATTCCCCCCAGAAAGCACATCCCTCTAAGGGCATCACACCACAGGAGATGCCCTGAGCGGCCGGACGCAGTGGTACTAAGCTGATGCACCGTTTTAAATGGAGACAGAATGCTTATTCCTTTCTATGTTTTTTTAAAAGAATTATTTGTTTTTTATTTGGGGAAAAAAAAAAAAGTAAGGACAGTCTTCCCTCCCACTGATTTGCTCCCCAAGGTGGCTGCAGACAGCTAAGGCTTTGCCAGACCGAAGCCAGGAGCTTGGCACTACATCTGGATAGTGACAGGAAGCACGGTACTTGAGAACCCAGTACATGCTGCCTCCCAGGCTGTGCACTGGCTGGAGGCTGGAATCGGGCATGGAGCTGGGGCTTGAACTGAGCCTGTGACATACACCCGCCCCAGAGTGTCTGTGGATGGCTTGGATGAAATGACTGCCCGTTTGATTGCTGACTGACGAGCCACACCAGGAAGCCTTGAAATAGGAAGGAGTGGTCAGTTCTTGTCTTACATAATGGGGACAGGGCAACGGTTAGCATGTAGCTGTAATGGCATATCATTGTGGGGTCATTTAGAATAGGAGCAAGTTGCATTGCTTTTACTGACTTCCTGAGACCATTGCTGTCTAATATATGCCACCACAACCTAACGTGACCAACGTTCACCATGCACAAAGGGCGTCCCAGGGGTTCAGTATATTATGCCCTGTGTAGGCTGGCAGGGAAGTGTACAGTACAAGTAAGCGCATTTCTATACAAAATGGCTTAAGTAAAACAAGTTTGGGTGTTGAAGATGGCTGAGCCATGTGGGAAAATCCACCCTGTGGAATACCTTCTTCATGGAAGGTAGAGGGTAAATGAAATAGTACTGCACTTGGTTTGAGAACACTACCCTCTTAAATATAACTTGGGCTTTTTGCTTTAAAAAAAATAGAAAACAGTTATTTCAAATCGCTTGCCTTTGGATTTTATATAATACAAGTGAATCATTTCTCTTCTGAAGTTGCTTTCTTTCCACCTGTGCTATAACATGCAAGATATATGGAGGTTGAGTTTTATTTAAAATTTATCAGCAGGTACTTGATAGGGTTTAACTTCTGGTAAATAGTGACAGCGTCCTCAGCTCCTGTACCATGTTGAGCTATTGGTGGTCTCAAGGCATGTTAAGGGAGGAAACCAGAGTATTCTGCAGTGCCTTTTGTCTGGCAGCAGATGGTGTTTTGTGGGCAAGGCGTCTGATTTTATCCAGAAGCGGTGTTGTTGAGGAGGGGTTGACCGTGTTCTCATTCAGTTACCTTGCACGGGGAGGAACTATGAGAGAGTGTGGTGATACCTGGCTTTCCTCTAAAAATGCAGTTAAGTCTTACAGTGAAGTGTCTTCCTGGCTCAGATCAATGACATGGGGTGTTTATTCTTGGGCAAGTCCCTCTGGGTATTTATTGAATGAAAAAGTTGTTATTTGATTGATCAGGTGCACCAGGATACAGCTAAAGTTTGAAAATTTTGAATTTTGAAATACATTTGCCTGCTAGAACCAAATGTATGCAGAGTTGATAAAATGCCAACAAGGAAGTATAGATGAAGAGCGATGTTGCAAACGTCTGCTTCCTACTCATCTGTTTTAAAATGATGGTTATAGCAGTGATTCTGGTATGTGCAGTGTGAATCTAGTCCCTGTTGGCCCAGCAAGAAGAAAACATGAGCTATAAAATACTTCAAAACTTCTGGTTTTCCTGAATTTTTCAGTCTTTTACCATTGTACTCTACCTATCAATAAAATTTAAAGATCTGAGTAATTTAAGCAAATATTTTTTCTGTTTATTTCTGTTTGTTGATGTTATAGTTTATTTTATGTCCATAGTAAGACACACTTAAATGCTGTATTTAGGGGTTCCCTTATGCTCTGATAACACCGTGTTAATTGGCGCTGCCTTCTTCAGGGCCTGCCCACATACCTGTGGGCATTCATTTGTAACATCAGAAGGAATCAGCATCTCTGAAGTATTTACACACACACAAAAAAAAAAAAAACTCCTAGAAACTTACAGGTGTGTGGAGTTTCAGGGCTGGAAAGCGGTGATGGACGCAGGCCACGGTGGACTCCAGAGCTGGGCCCTCCTTTGTAGCTTAGCTTGGATGAGTTAGAAAACATCATCGGAACTCAGATGTTCTCTGCAGTCCAGATGTAATATCTCTTTGTTGTATTTATGATACCACCTCAAAAACTTAATGTTTAAACAGTACCCCATCATCTATTTCTTTAAAATATTTGCTTATTTTTTATTCAAAGCCAGAGAGGAACTGCACTCACCAAATAGCTGCAATGGCCAGAACTGAGCCAATCTGAATCCAGGAGCCAAGAGTCCCCTCTGGGTCTCCCGTGAGAGTACATAAGAGTGCAGGGCCCCAAGGCTCTGAGACATCCTCTGCTGCTTTCCCAGGCCACAAGCAGGGAGCTGAATGGGAAGTGGAACAGCTGGGAAACAAACAGGCACTCATAGGGCATTCATTGCTTGTAGGTGGAGGATTAACCAAGTGAGCCTTCATGCTGGCCCCTCCATAATCTTATTTTTTCAAGTCAAAGAAAAATGTTGCTTTAATTTTATTAAAATGTTTATTTGAAGGATTACAGAAAGAACGAGAGACAGAAAGAAGCTCAGTCCTCCATGTGGATGCAATGGCTAGGGCTGGATCAGGCTCAAGCCAGGAGCTAGGAGCTTCTTTCAGGTCCCCCATATGATTAGCAAGGGCCCAAGCTCGTTGGCCAGTTCCCCTGCTTTCCCAGGCCATTAGCAGGGAGCTGGATCAGAACAGGGCAACCAAGACTCAAACTGGCACCCTTACGGGAGGATTACAGGTAACAGCCTTACTTGCTCTTCCACCCCTCAGATTCCTGCTTTTGTATTTTAAAACCTTTTTAACTCTTAATGTATCACTTACCAGAAATCACATGCATAATTCATTTTAGACTTTAAAATGATTTTTTTTTTCTCATCTACTTGAGAGGTTAAGGGAAAGGGTGTGGATTTTCATCGCTTTCCCACCCTCTAGTTCTTTCTTCAAATGCTCACAACAGCATTGTGACCCAGGGCTGGGAGCTCTGAACTCCATGCATGCTTCCATGTGTGTGGAAGGGGCCCACACCGCTGGGCCTTCATCTGCTGCCTTGCAGGTGCACCTGCAGGATGCTGGGGTTGAACATGCATTCTGACATTAGATGCATGCCTTGGAAGTGGTGTGGAGCCTGCTGCAACCCCAGTACCTGCCCCGCTATCCTTTTCCGATGAGAATGCACGCTTCGTTTCTTCAAGATTTTTCTGGTAGCATAATGGACACAGCCATAGCACTTGTGATTGGTGTTATAGGTTAGTGCTTGAAGAAAAGAACGTGTGCACACTGTGTTGCTTCCTTGTTCCCCTGTGTTGTGTGGCAAACGCTGCCGGCCTTGGGGTTTTACACACTTGATCCAGACCTTCTGTTCTCTCTGTGAATCTGCATTGACCTCTTGGATTTTCTTGCTGCCTTCTTTATGGTTGCCCTTTTCCCAGCTCAGGTGATGTTCGTGAAGCCCCCCCACTGTAGAGTGTCAAGGCTCCCCAGAATGTCAGTGTGTTACCCCACTCTTCTGAACCCCATGGCAGCACCCGGGGCCTCCTGCTGCAACTGCTCAGAAACACGCCCATACTGATTCTTTAGTGTGGGCCTCTCTCTGTGTCACTTGCGTGGGGGTGTGTGTGTGTGTGTTTGTTTTACAGAGATTATGATGATGTTCCTCTGTGGTTTTGTTGCTTGGACAGGGAGATGCAAGGGCAAATACCTAATGCACCCCAAGACAATGAACTTTTATTTTGAAAGAAAAAAAGGGGGGCATGCTAATGCAAGAGTTAAAAAAAACAGTTCAGGGACCCGGCATGGTAGCCTAGCAGTTAAGGTCCTCACCTTGCGTGTCCCAAGATCCCATAGGGGCACCGGTTCTAATCCCCATTGCCCCAATTCCCATCCAGCTCCCTGCTTGTGGCCTGGGAAAGCAGTCGAGGATGGCCCAAAGCTTTGAGACCCTGCACGCACATGGGGGACCTGAAAGAGGCCTCAGATCGGCACAGCTCCCGCCGTTGTGGCCTCTTGGGGAGTAAATTATCGGATGTCTTCCTGTCTGTATATCTGACTTTCCAAAGTAAATAAATAAATCTTTTTTTAAAAAAAAGAATAGTTCACTGAGCATCTTCATGTAGATAGCCCAGATGCTAATATTTCGCAAATTTGCAGTCTCTTTTCTCCTTCTTTATTTATTCTCCTCTTTTTTTCCCTTTTATGAACCCTAAATATCTCTCAGAGCCCCTGTGAATCTGCCAGGTCCTGGGCACGGTTAGCATCTTTCATGGCCTGCCCCACCAACACCCGTGGAATCCTTGTGCTAACATTTAGCATTGCTTTCAAGGACTGCAGCCGAGCAGTGGTTATGGATTGTCCTAATTTTTTGTTCTCATCTCCATAATTAACCACACTCCAGATTTCTTTTTTTTTTTTTATCATACTGTAAGCATTGGATTTTATAACATGTATTTTTAAAACTGAAATGAATTTCAGTATAGAAAACAAAGATAGCACTTTGCGTATTTCACCCTCCAGGGGGTAGCTCTGGATTTGAGGAAATCACAATATTAACAGAGCTAAAATGTTATAGCTTTCTGTAAAATAGCATTTAGAATAATTCAGAAGTGAAAGTAAGTGTTCGAATCTCACACCCCTACTGTGTGACACATTTTCAAAATCTCAGTGAATTCACCCAAAGCGTAAAGTGGTTTGTCCCCACCAAAGCAGTGAAGTAGCAGACGTTGAGGTCTCTGTCGTGGTCCTGACTCAGGGCGCGCAAGCCTCACTTGGTGGCCTTTCCCCCGA